ATGATGATGGTTATTATGGTTGATGATGATGATGATGGTTATTATGGTAATGATGATGATGGTTATTGTGGTAATGATGATGATGATGATGGTTATTATGGTAATGATGATGATGATGATGGTTATTATGGTAATGATGATGATGGTTATTATGGTGATGATGATGATGATGGTTATTATGGTAATGATGATGATGATGATGGTTATTGTGGTAATGATGATGATGATGGTTATTATGGTAATGATGATGATGGTTATTATGGTAATGATGATGATGATGATGGTTATTATGGTAATGATGATGGTTATTAGGTGATGATGATGATGGTTATTATGGTAATGATGATGATGATGATGATGGTATTATGGTAATGATGATGATGATGGTTATTATGGTAATGATGATGATGATGATGGTTATTATGGTAATGATGATGATGTTATTATGGTAATGATGATGATGATGATGGTATTTAATGATGATGATGATGGTTATTATGGTAATGATGATGATGATGGTTATTATGGTAATGATGATGATGATGGTCATTATGGTGATGGTGGGCTTCCTCACCGTCTCTGCAGGTCTGTCCGTCCTCCAGCATCTGGACTCCGGTGGGACAGGCGCAGCGGTAGAATGGCCGGGTCGGGGACAGCAGGCAGAGGTGGGAGCATCCCGCGTTGCCATGGGAGCAGGGGCTGCTCCGTGCTGCAACACATTGACATGGAGACGGGTCAGAACCGGCCAGGAGGAGAGTGCGGCAGGTTTGGACGGGTCCAGATATGCAACAGACAATACAAGACCCTGCAGGCGGCTGAGACTCACAGACGGGTTGCCTCTTGGGGCTGAAGACGTGGAGGTCCATCGGGGAGAAGATGTGGGAGTGGACGATGCGCTGCTCCCGGCCCGTCTGCTTCCTGCAGGAGTGGATGGAGTGGGTGTTCCAGTCGGTCCAGAACAGAGTATCCTCATACAGGGTGAGGGCGAAGGGGTGAGGCAGCTCCCCTTTAACCACCACCTCTCTGCAACACAGCACACACACATCAGACCAGGTCCAGGCCCAGCAGAACCGCCTAACACCCCACAGCTGGTACCTGGAAGAGCCGTCCAGGTTGCAGCGGTGGATGAAGTTGTGCTTGGCGTCGGCCCAGTAGAGCTTCTGCTGGCCGTAGTCGACCGTCAGCCCGTTGGGCCAGTGGATGTCCTGGTCCACCAGCAGGGACCGGTTGGTCCCATCCATCCCGGCCCGCTCGATCTTTGGGACCTCGCCCCAGTCCGTCCAGTACATGAACCTGAGGACGACACACAGCTGAGACCATGGGGAGAACCCAGAACCAGAACCACCGGGACCGTTTCCTTCACATCTGATGAATAGAAAAGTGGCCCTGATCCGACTCCTCTCCAGATACTTCCAACCCATCCAGCAGCAGCAGAACCATCTGGACTCACCCTCGCTCTGGATCCAGGGCGATGGCTCTGGGCTGGTCCAGCTCCTGCCAGAACAGAACCTTCCTCAGCGACCCGTCCAACTCGGCCACCTCGATCCGGTTGGTGTCCGAGTCGGTCCAGTACAGCTTGAGGCCCAGCCAGTCGCAGGCCAGGCCGTCCGGCGCGGCCAGGCCCGGCACCACGGTCTGGGAGGCGCCGGCGTCGGTCCGGTTGAAGGAGGTCCGTTTAATGGCCTCCTCGCTGACGTCGCTCCAGTAGATGAGGCCCTGGGCGTAGACGTAATCTACGGCGGCGGCGTCCTCCAGGCCGCCCACCACCACCGTGGCGTTGGCCTTGTCGCGCGCAGCGTCCACCAGACGCAGGTCCCGCCGGTTGGCGTACAGCAGCAGCGGCTCGCCTGGTGACACACAGGAAGTGTGAGCAGGGAGACAGGAAGTGGAAACAGAAACAGAACCCGGTTTCAGAACAAATGAAGAACGAATAATCACTGGAATAAACAAAAATATTGTTTGGAGACCATTTTAAGCAGCTGTGCGACATATTGTCATCAGTTTCAGTCCGATAAATCAAACTGAGCCGATATGAACAACAGATATTAATTATTCTCTTGTTTATTGTTTCTGGTCATTTTTTCCCCAAAAGTGTCAAAACGAAAGTGAGATATGCAGAATATTGATAAATACTGGTTATCGGCCATAGCAGCAATATTAATATTAATATCAGTGTTTTCCTAATTTTAAAGAAATATATTGATGAAAGTATAAAAATGCAAGTTATCCTAAGGTTTAATTTTGTAAAAAAAAAAGTTTTAGTAGAATATGTTTTACTACTATAATGATAAAAGTGGCAATAAAAATCATTTATGACTCAAACCACAAACATATTTCTGTGTCCTTTGGACTGCAGTTTAAACTGCTCATAATAACTGCATTTAGTCAGACTATATCCTAATTTATTGATATTCTCTTTAAACACACATCATAAAAAGTTCAATAATCCTGACAATACAGACAGATCTATGTTTTTATCTTTCACCTGAATTTACTGAGACAATAAGAAATTCAAATTCTTATTATAGTAAGAAATGTATCACAGTAGAAGACAAACAGTATGATGGATGTACAGGACTGTCAGTTCCTTTTGAGTGTTGTTCCTCTACAACACTCAAAAGGAACCGAATTCTTTCCATCAGTGGCTGTTTGATTGGTTTTAGTGCCTAGAATATGTTTTTTCCTTCTTTTGACTGTTTTAGTATTGAATTGTACAGTAAAGTCCTGACTGGCAAATGTCTGAATGAAGGGTCTTTTTTTAAAAACAACCTTTTTGTTTATTAAGTGTAATATTGTGTGTGACCTTACAGAGTTAGAGAGTTAAATAACATGTGCATTTCTTTAAAGGCGGCTTTAGTTTACTCCTATCCAAATATTTTGGATATAAATATACAATATATTTATTTTCATATTTATATCAAGCCAAGCAACCAAAAACAAGAACGAAAGCAGAGTGAGAGTAAGTTACCTGCCTGTCCAGTTCCTCCTCAGAAGGAAAACTGGATCTTTGGTACCAGTCGGAGATTTCAGCACCAATAAAATTATTCAATAAAATAAAAGAATATTTCAGCTTAGTGTTGGAGTCTAAAAAGAGCAGCTCACAACCTGAGAGATCAAGCAGAACCACCAGAACCGGCCTCTGAAACTGTTTAATTTTGGGAAAAAGCCCAAAATTCCCAACATGGCAGCACCTTGTGGCAGCAGGTGTTCCTTCCAGCATCACTGAAGCACGGCGGAGGTTCTGTCATGCAGTGAACCAGAACCAGCTACCTGGAAAGCCGTCTGCTCCTTTAAATCTAGACTCAAGCATTTCTGTTCCTGAGGTTTTCCAGGGAAATATTTTCTGGACTTCCAGTGATTCCGCTGTGCATTAAAGCTAATGGAGCTGATGATTCCCAGCTCAGGTTTTCCTGTTTTCTTCCAGGTTTTCCATTAATCTACAAGTTAAGGATGAATCTCCATACCTGGAAGGTTTCCAGTGAAGCATCCAGTCTGAGTTGCTCTGCTGCAAAACAGATTTTTCTCTGTAATAATATTTGTATCAGAACCAGAACCTACTCTAGTTAACCAGCTGAAAGGCAGCTAGCTAGTTGCTTAGTTGGTTAGCAGCTACAACCTGTTAGCTTTGATGCTAACTAGCTTCGATAGCTCCTGTTGTTGTTTCCCACATTCCCTTTCTGCTCCAAATAATCAACCCAATCTCCCGAATCCAACCAGAACCAGAACCAGACCCCACATCCCACCCAGAACCGGAACCTACAACTGGACTTATGAGCAGAATTCCTAGGTAAAAGCCTTTTCCAGAACAAGCTGGATGTTAGCTAAAAGCTAACGTTAGCAGGCCTGGAAATCTAAACACAAAACCCGAATCCAGCCGGAACCCCGCCACCCTCGGTCCAAACAGCCAGAACCTCCAGAACCAGTACCTTACCTGAGACGAGCCAGCAGGAACCCAACAGCAGCAGGATCCGAAGACACATTCCATCTTTCTCCCGATCCTGGCCCAGCCGCCGCGGATCCTCAGCGGAGGATTCCCAGCATTCCCATCATGGCTGCGGCCGCTTCCTCTCGACAAAAACGCTCCGCTCCGGTTCGGTTCGGTTCGGATCAGACTCGGATCCTTCCAGCTTCCATTACACGCTTCTGTTCGCTTAAGAGTCCGATCCAAAGTCTCATATCTTCCCACAGGACCGTTGGTGTCGCTCCGCTGCCAGAAGCCGCTGGTGCCGCTGGTGCTCCTCCTCCTCCTGCGCTTTCTATTGTTGTTCTGCCGCACACGGACTGCGCACTGCCGCAACAAAAACACCGCAAACCGCGCGCAACCGCAGAGACCTGCGCATCCGAACCACCAGGAGGGACTACTTTATCTCCCCCAACGAGCTCTGAAAACCGGCAGGAGAAACGCTGGGGGCCGCAACAGGTGGGGGAGGGGAGACAGCGGGGGGTCCAACCAGAACCTGAAGGAGGGAGAGACAGTGATGTTTTTGCCTGTTGTGTGAAACCGATCCACAGCATGATGCTGCCACCTCCATGCTTCACTGCAGGTCCGCGTCGAGCCTCCACTTCAGCTTCCGGCTTTTTTCTCCATGTAGCGAAGCTTCAGGTCTGTCGAGGATTTACAAACCGATCCAGATGTTTCTCTTCTCTGACTTGACTGAGCGGCCATGTTGGAGCTGGACTCGTCCAGAACCCGTCCGTCTCAATACCGCACCTTTCTTTGATTTTGCACTGATATTTTTTTATTTTACAAATAGAAAAAAAAATAAACTTCACAAAACAATCTGAAATTTTGAGGTGAAGCTAAAAAAAAAATACATGTAAAAGTCTGGAGAAACCCTACCATTTTAAATTCTTTTGAGAAAATGTCTGAGATTAATCAAAACATTTTGTACCTTATGGTCCATATTTAGCTCCATAGAATTTATTCTTTTTCTACCAACTGGCCCTGAACACCTGGACCCTCCGATCATTTAGTTCGTAGAGAAAACAAGAGATAAAAATTCAAAAATCACATTGTTTTAATCTTTACAACAAAACATTAAATTCAGTTATATGAAAGCATCACTTGACAAAACGGCACCAAACGTCACCATCCATGTCGATAATTAGAGTAAAACTGAAACGTGACCAGCCCGCTGCTGCCTCCTGCTGGAGAGGTGCCGCAGCAGCAGCCTGTCTAAAACATACACCCAGTAAAATGTGTTTATTATAAGAAAATAGTGGCGGCCATTTTCCTCTGAGCTATGAAAACCAACCAGGAATATGTACAGCAGCTGATTATCAAAAACACACAACACAGTAGTGCATCAGTTTATAAAGGATTGGATCCACGGCGGGAATCCTGGTGGAAATACAAAAACACACAGTGGATATGACATCTACAGTGAACCTGTGGGTTCAAAGGTCACCATAGGCCCAGAGGACATGCAGGAGCGTGCACAGCGAGTTCTGATCTGCATCTGGAGTCTCCGCTTCAGAGGCTTCCTGAGAGTCGCTGGGGGGAGGGCAGTATTGCTGTCAGGTTTTTGGGGAACCAGGAGAAACCAGGAGAAACCAGGAGGAACCTGGAGGAACCAGGAGGACCAGGAGGAACCAGGTGGGCCAGGAGGAACCAGGTGGGCCAGGAGGAACCTTCATAAATCAGACCGTTTCTGTGTTCACATCGGAGCGTTCCCTCTGGAGGCGGAACTGGTTTTAGCAGTATGTTTATCAGCAGTAAATTATTTCATCTTGGTTAGCTTAGGATTTCTTTAAATCACTGAAATGAACGTAGAGAGGCCTTCAAAGCTCTGATTTTGGAAAACTTTTCACAGTTTTGGTTCCTTATCAGAAATGAACAAATATTTTCCTATAAATTGTAAATGTATTCATAATTTAGGGTACATTATTCAGAAATTTAAATTTGTCCAATTTAACACTAATAACCCTAAGTGCAGTGACACGTGCGGACTAGTGAAGGAGAGGCTCATCTGTCATCATGGAAAAATAATAAATAATGATAAAACAATTTATATTGCTATTTTCACCCTGTGGTTTGTACTGTAAAGTATTTATTTGTCATGCAGCTTAACCAATTCTGATGATTTTTTTCTTCAAAATCGCTGAATTTTCCCATTTTCCCATTCAAATGCTCAGAAGGTGAGGCAGCAGGAAGCCGCGCCTCAGCTGGACTAATCAACGTCTCACTGGCTGCCAGTCTGTGGCAGCAGCTCCTCCTGTCTGAACGGCGCCAATAAAATGGTTAAAAAACATTTCATATATCAACTGATATTCCATCATTAAGCTCATCTATATAATGTTCAGTGTTTCTTGCCTCCAACTGTGTGTGTAACGTGTTTATGCTGAGCAGCGATCAGAAACCAGAGAACAGACTGGAGCTAGCCCTGGAGCTAACCATGGAGCTAACCGTGGAGCTAGCCCTGGAGCTAACCGTGGAGCTAACCGTGGAGCTAGCCCTGGAGCTAACCATGGAGCTAACCGTGGAGCTAGCCCTGGAGCTAACCGTGGAGCTAGCCCTGGAGCTAGCCGGGGAGCTAACCATGGAGCTAGCCCTGGAGCTAACCGTGGAGCTAGCCCTGGAGCTAACCGTGGAGCTTAGCCCTGGAGCTAGCCCTGGAGCTAACCGTGGAGCTAGCCCTGGAGCTAACCGTGGAGCTAGCCTTGGAGCAAACCCTGGAGCTAGCCGGGGAGCTAACCATGGAGCTAGCCCTGGAGCTAACCCTGGAGCTAGCCCTGGAGCTAACCATGGAGCTAACCGTGGAGCTAGCCCTGGAGCTAACCGTGGAGCTAACCGTGGAGCTAACCGTGGAGCTAGCCCTGGAGCTAACCGTGGAGCTAGCCCTGGAGCTAACCGTGGAGCTAGCCTTGGAGCTAACCCTGGAGCTAGCCGGGGAGCTAACCATGGAGCTAGCCCTGGAGCTAACCCTGGAGCTAGCCCTGGAGCTAGCCGGGGAGCTAGCCCTGGAGGTAGCCGGGGAGCTAGCCCTGGAGCTAACCGTGGAGCTAGCCCTGGAGCTAGCCGGGGAGCTAGTCCTGGAGCTAGCCGGGGAGCTAGTCCTGGAGGTAGCCGGGGAGCAAGCCCTGGAGCTAGCCGGGGAGCTAACCGTGGAGCTAGCCCTGGAGCTAGCCGGGGAGCTAGCCCTGGAGCTTAGCCCTGGAGCTAGCCCTGGAGCTTAGCCCTGGAGCTAACCCTGGAGCTAGCCCTGGAGCTAACCCTGGAGCTAGCCCTGAAGCTAACCGTGGAGCTAACCCTGGAGCTAGCCCTGGAGCTAGCCCTGGAGCTAGCCCTGGAGCTAGCCGTGGTTGTTGTAAAGTGCAGCGATATATTTATAGTTTTCTCCTCTTACTCCATCAATCACTTATTAATAATCACAAAATAAACATTAAGCCTAAAACCAAACTACTGCAACAGACTGAATGTTCTGATCTTTGTGTGGGAAACAAAAAAATATACATTTTTTGTTTTGTTGTCAGATGCTATGGCAACGAGTCTGCACGTAGCTGCGCTCGGACAGAGTGAGAAAGAAATGGTTTTGAGTTGGACTTTAACGGTTTGAATATGAAATGAATATGATGTACATGTCCAAGTCTGATTGAGGTAACAGAACATTCAGAGTTGTTATTGTTACCCTCCATATGTAAACAATAACATGCAGGGTCTGCATCTGTAGATATGATTATGATAAACCTCACCGCACGTCACTGCCGAAGGGACAGTCACTGAATTAACAGAAAAAAGGATGACATCTAGTGGTGGTTATTAGAACTACACAGGTTTAAAAACCTAATTAAACCACATCTGATTTAACTCATCTGTAAATTTCATTTGTAAAATCCTTAAAAATGACTGAACAGTTTCTCTGTCCACGCCTAGGGGCGGGGACTATCTGTGGGTAATGGAGAGTCCGACCAATCAGAGAGCAGGATTCTCTGACGTTCAGAGTTGTGCAGGTAATACTTAAACAACCTTATGCAGAAATGTTGGATTTTCCCGTTAAATCTCATAGTGCAAGTCGTTGAGCTCCAGTCTGGTGTAATGGCGCCGGTCGAAGGACTCCATGGCCTTCCGGCCGCCCACCGCCAGCGCCAGCGTCAGCACGGCCAGCGCCAGCACCATGAAGGCCAACACACCGCCCTTCAGCGCCCCCTGGGCCGCCACCACTTTCCCCCGGCTGGAGCTGGAGTTCAGGGTGGGGTGGCCCGGTTGGAGGTCCGGCTCTGTCTGGACCGGGTCTTTGGGAATGAAGATCAGACTTGGCGATTGAGCTGTCACTGTGGCGGTTGGCTCGGTGGTGGAGGTACGCTGGGCAGTGGTGGAGGTACGCTGGGCGGAGGTGGAGGTACGCTGGGCGGAGGTGGAGGTACGCTGGGCGGTGGTGGAGGTACGCTGGGCGGAGGTGGAGGTACGCTGGGCGGAGGTGGAGGTACGCTGGGCGGAGGTGGAGGTACGCTGGGCGGTGGAGAAGGTGGCTGTAGTCGTTGGGGTTGTACTGGTTGTACTGGTGGTTGGAGCCACAGTGGTGGTTGTAGCTGAAGTTGTAGTTTCTAGAACACTAGAATGTTTATCTTCCACCTCCTTCCTTCCTGTTTCACCAGGAAGTGATGTCATGGAGCTGGGAGCTGTTTGGGTGGTGGTGGTGAGGATTGGATGAGATTTTCCTTTCTTGGTGGTTTTGTTTTGCTTCTTGCTGGTTTTGTTGGGTTTTCTGGTGGGAGAGGATCCCATGGTGGTGGTTGTGGTGGTGTTGGTGGGTGGAGTCCCTGCAGGCTCTGTGGCAATGATGATGATGGGTGGGGAAGGCTCTGGGGTGGAGTGCAGTGCCTGGGCAGTGGTCGGTGTGCCGATTGTGCTGGTGGCTGGTGTAGTTGGTGCTGATGTGATAGAGGTGGAGGTGCTGGTAGGATGGAGTGTGGTTGTCATGGGAAGAGGTCTCAGTGTGGGTGGATGACTTAAACCTGAGCAGGAGAGAAGAAAGTTGAAGTGTTGTGACATTTTGGCCACAAGAGGGCATCAGAGATATAGAATTATCGCTGCTGATCTGTTTATGGAAGACCATAACTGCCATGAAAGACAAAAAAAAAAGTCCAAAAGCAAGCCATAATTCTGACATAAAGAATCATAATTTAAAAAATTAAGTCAATTTTGAGTTTTAAAGTCACAATTTTGAGGTGAAAAGTCTTCATTTTGAAAAAATAAAATCTTGATAAGAAGTTATTCTTTTAAATGTTAAAGTCATAATTCTGCATTTTAAAGTAAAAATTTTGAGACCGTCAATTTTGAAAAAAAAAACACAAGGTATAATTCTGCAAAAGAAATTCCAAATTTTAATTTAAAAGCCATCATTTGAGTTTTAAAGTCATAATAAAATAGTCAACTTTGTGACTATTTTATAATAATTTCACGCTTTAAAGTAAGTTATTAAATTTAAAGTCATAATTTCAGGAGCATGACTTTTTCTCAAAATTATGACTCTGAAAGTCAAAATTATGAAAATTATTCTGAAAATTATAATTTTTATTCTCATAATGAAGGTTTTAAAGTTGGTGATTCTGACTTTCTGTCAGGCTTTTATGTTTTCTTTCATGGCACAGATGGGCTTCCATACAGGTGAAAGAGAAAAGCAGCAGACCTTTGTAGATGTCGGAGGTGTTGCTGCCCTCGGTGGTTTTCATCAGAGGACAGTCTGACTCGGTGGGACAGTGGAACAGCAGGCAGTTGCCTTCGCCAGGGTGTTTGTTGGCTTTGAACATGGCCGTGTTGCACCGAGCGCCTTCAGAAAACAGAGCACAGGTGGCACTTCAGCTCACTGATCACTAGATGGCAGTAAATGTTGCATATTGAACCTTTAACTGACAGTAAACACAGTCAACCTGCTATGCTGCTGGTCCACCAGGCTCAGCCGGGTCACGGTACCAGAACACTTTCTGGTTCCGGTTGTTGAACTTGTGTCTTCACAGTGAGAACGATCCGAGTTAAATTCAGTTTATGGTTAAATGGTAAAATGAAAAATCTGTAGATTGGGAATTTTTGTATCCTTTTAACACAAGTGAACGGAATATTTTCTGTATTTGACTGGTTGTTTTTTTAAAACAACTGGAAAATTTAAAACCCATTGGTCACTTGACAGGTTATAATTTACACCCTCGGGGGTCAGGGGTCAGCGCGGCCCACGTTTGGAGGCCTCAGACCTCGACGCCGTGGGTTCGACTCCCGGTCCCTGCGACCTTTGCCGCATGTCTTCCCTTCTCCTCGCCCTCCTTCCTGTCTGCCTACTGTTGAAAACATGAGCCACTAGCGCCGCTAAAACTCTTCAGAGAAAAAAATGATAAAATAAAAAAATAATTTCCACCCTTGGCTGGAGCACATGGTCAGATGCTATAGACTTTATGGCAGAAGCAACTGAAATCAATCAATAAAAAAATCCTTTCTGAACATCATCTCATGTTTGGATTCAATGTGTCTTTCTGACACGGCGCTGACGGCGCTGGAGCGTCTGGCTGGGAAGAAATGAGGCGTTTAATTCCAGTGTCCAGTGAAAACTCAAGAGATACAACGTTGCATTAATCCATTTGCACAGAGGAGCAGGCAGTTTATCCAGAGGAAATAAATGAAGCTGCAGAAGTTAATTAGACTGTAACATACGCAGCGCTGCGAAGAGTTAAACTGAACTCATGCTGGGTTTTAACAGATGGAAGACGTGACATCAAAACCACCCAAAAAAAAAAAAAAAACTTGGAAAAGCACACAAACAAACAACGGCGCAGGGAAGAAAAAGTTGAGTTGATCTTTCTGGGTGTGGATCAGTCAGATCCACCGAGAGGAAACGGTGAGGCTCAGCTTCAGAGCAGCAGGTGAAGTCCTGCTAATTTCACTTCAGTTTCATTTCATAAATTATTGGGGCTTCTGTCAGTCACTGGGTTTTGTCACTAGAGAAAAAGTTCGATGCATTTATCTGGTTTATGTGATGGAATCTGGTTCTACTAGGCGAATATTAACTGAATTGCATGAAAATGTGGCTAAATATCCTGATGCTGATTCTAATTTGATTTATTTTTATCAGTCATGATAAAAATAAACATGACTGATTGTTTTTAATGCTGTTGGTCAAAATGATGGAGAACAAAAAGTCCAACTCTGCCTTTTAAACATCAGAATAACGGATCACTGCTGGCCTGGTTCTGATGAAACCTTCTGGTCCAATCAGAAGCTCTGGCCGCCATCTCTGCTCTGAACAGATTCCTTAAAGGGACGGTATCGTGTAAAATCAACAAATATTTTTCATTCATCAGGAACAAACCTGCAGTGTTGCTTTGATTCATTAATGCAAATCCTTTAATCTCCATTGCAACCATTCAGTTCCCCGAAACGCCTGGATGAACCTAGCCCCGCCTTCGAGGCTTCGCTCCTCCCCCACTCAGCTCCTTCAGACTAGCCAGCAGCAATTAGCAATCAGCTGCTGAGCTCCTTTTAGGAGCTGCTGCTCAAAGCAACGCAGGTAAAACCCATAAAGGGTTAATAGAGGAGCCATTTTGGGACAACTTCCTGGAGGCGGAGCTTCAGAAACAGAAGGAGCTTCTTAAAGAGACAAAGGCTCAATTTGAAGAGGTTAAATCAGGAAATAATTTTTTTTTACTCATATTTCATATATACAGAATTTTGCAACAGCTGAAGGTATCATAGTTACTGATGAAACTATAAAATGGCTGAAAACAGAGAACAGCGCCCCTTTAACTGGGACAGATTCCTGACCAGAACCAGTCCGGATCAGCGGTTCTCCTCCTCAGCGACTCAGGTTCGGTCCAGTTCCAGCATGAAAACACTGATGAAGCAGAGATGATAACCAGCGGTTCTGATCTGGTACCAGATGTTCTGATCTGGTACCAGATTCTGGTCGGGTCTCACCTGTTCCGACCTCTGTGGAGCAGCAGGCCTTGACGCAGTCCTGCTCTGACAGCTTCGACTGGGCCATCATGGCCGCCGCGTCCCGGCTCAGCGCCGCCCGGACGTTGACGGCGGCGCCCTGATGCTGCCGGTAGAAACACATCTCCGGTTCCAGAGCTGCAGCAGGAAATGACATCAGCAGCATCACGATGAGCAGCCAGGGCAAAGGTCGGAGGTCGGCCTGGGGAGTCATGGCTGCGGAGTTTCGGCTGGGATCACAAAGGCCTCAAAACGGATCCAGTGGAGGTTCTGGAGAGGAGCAACAGAACGCAGTGAGTTCCTCTGGAGGTTCTGGAACCGACAGAAAACATCCAGCAGCAGCTGCAGCTCCTTCCTCAGATGATGATGTTCAAACGCTCGCCGTCCCAGATCTGTCCCTCCTCTGCTCGGCGCCACAAAGAGCCGAATCGGACCCGGACAAAGGAGGAAAATAGAAATCTAAAAATGGATCTGCTCCTGAAGGAGGAGGATCCATTTTTAGATTCCTTCATTGAGGTCAGGAAACAAACCAGGCTGAGAGGAAGAATGGATCAGAACCGGGCCGGAGTCAGAGTTCTGCTGCAAAAAGACAAGTCGTGTTCTGGATCAGCCAGAACTCAGAGACCTGCCGGGTCCAAACAGAACCTGCACAGAACCTAACAGGACTGGAAAGAAACAGCCAGAAAAACCCAGTAGAACCAAAACTCACCAGAGTCTCAGCCTTATGGGTCCAGAGTCCGGTCAGCAGAACTTTGACCCGTTAGCAGCACGGTTCCTCTAATCAGAACTTCTCAGCAGCTGATAACATTTGGAGCAGAACCGCCCAATCCAGAACCTGTTGGGTTCTAAGATTAACCGGTTCTGATCCGATCACACTCTGGGCTTTATCAGTTCTAGCTTCATCAGAAGAGCAGGTGGTGGTTCCGGTTCCGGTTCTAGATTCTCAAACCATCAGCAGTTGAACCAGACCCCGGTGTTCTGGTTCTGATCCAGTTCCGTGAGACCAGAACTCTTCCACAGAACCCAGGTTTGGGTTCAGAACCACTTTCACTCATTCATTTAGAAATGTTCAACTTCCTGGTTCAACATTTAGTTGCAAGTTATTAAATCTGTAGCAAAATCAATAAATCAATAACTCGCTGACTGCCACAAATAGACTATCAAAATAAAAGCTTCTGGATCCAAATCACTTCCTGATTCAGAGTTGATCCCAGTTATTGATGAGCCGATTAGCATTTTAGATTCTGGGCTCCAAACTAAATATTTAGCTCAATAACTTATTAAATATTCAGTTTGAAACGGAAACATTTATAAATGATTAATGGACATATTAATACCTGTAGTAATAATAATAACCAGGACCTGCAGGCCCCTCATGGGGCCCATTTTATGTGGTACCACAAAGAGGTTAAAGGGTCAACAATATGTTAGTCGTTTCCAGAAGAGGCCCGGTTATTGTCATCAAATATATGGGGTCAGTATGGAAGCCAGCTGGTCCCACATGGGGCCCAATTCAGGAGGAATCAGTTTAGTTCACTAAGAAAATGTAAATATAACAGCTGGAAACAGAAAACCCCCCGATTGGACCCAAACCAGCGTTACTGTTTCCTAAAGTGCGACTGATTCCTAGCCACCCATATGGGCCCCACGTAGAACTTAGATATGGGTCCCAAACAGGCTCTGTGTACCTCTAGAAGGTTTTACCCCATTACTGATGGCTTTTCAAGCTTACATAGTAATGGGCCCAATAAGGAGGCTGTGGGTATCATGGGGCCCATTCTCCAGCTCAGACGGGTCCCACAGTGAACTGAACCGAGTCAATCTGGACTTTGGAAATAAAAACCCAGGATCTCTAGCAGTTCCAGACTCTCAGACCTTATGGGTCACATGGTGGCTGAACTGGTTTTACCGGTAAACCGGTGTGAAACCAGTTCAGTGTGAAACCAGTTCAGTGTGAGTGAATCGGTTCTGGATCGGTGCTGTTCATGTTCAGAAAAACTGGATGTTTCCGGATTGTGGAAATATAAAACACCCCGTTTTAAAACATCCCGATCACAGCGCGCTAACTGGTTCTACTGGTTCCACTGGTTCTACTGGTTCTACTGGTTCCACTGGTTCTACTGATTCTACTGATTCTACTGGTTCTACTGGTTCCACTGGTTCTACTGGTTCTACTGGTTCTACTGATTCTACTGGTTCTACTGGTTCCACTGATTCTACTGGTTCTACTGGTTCCACTGGTTCCACTGATTCTACTGGTTCTACTGGTTCCACTGGTTCTACTGGTTCTACTGGTTCCACTGGTTCTACTGATTCTACTGATTCTACTGGTTCCACTGGTTCTACTGGTTCCACTGGTTCTACTGGTTCTACTGATTCTACTGGTTCTACTGGTTCCACTGGTTCTACTGGTTCCACTGGTTCCACTGGTTCTACTGGTTCTACTGCTGCCGATAAGCGGCACAAAGCGGCGGGATACCTGAGCGGTCAGCGGGGCTCCGTTCAGCTCAGCCCGGCCTCCATCGTCCTCCGGCGGTCAGTGTGTGGCGGCGGGTCGGTGCTTCACTGCAGGCTGGAGGAATTCAGCGGGTCCAGTTCACCAGAACCAGTTCAGTCTCAGTTAGCGGCCTCAGCCATCCCAGGACGACATGTTGGGAACGAAAGAAAAGCGGAGCAGGAAGGAGGGAACCGGCAGCACGTCCCGCTCAGAGCGCCTGCAAGGCGGCCAGCAGCTGCTCTCTGCCTCCGGATGCTGGTGCGCAGGTTCCGCTGCTGCTCTCCTCAGTCTGACCCATTTTAGTCTTTGTCCTCTGGAAGGGGGAGGGAAGAACCTGCAGCTCCAGTCTGAGCAAAACAAGCCCCGAAAATAACAAACATCAATTATTGCTAGAAAGACGCTTTATGGGCCTCAGCTGCAGAGGACGGAACATGAAACCAGTTTATTAATCAATGATTAAAGATCTGATGGAGAAAACATCTGAAAGAGAAGATGGTCTCCATGGAGAAACCAGTATCTGCTGTATGGAAAGCTGTTAGAGCATTTAACACCCGCTGAACAGGGCCGGCCCCAGAATCTGATCTGGGCCCCTTCAGAGCATCTGGGGCCCAGAATTACAAATTATTATTCATCTTCATAATAATTTAGTGTTATGAACATCAAATGCAGGAAGGTTTTGTTAGCTGGAAGCTAATTGAACATCACTGTTCGTTACTAGTTTACCAACTAAATATTTAGTCTGAATGTTCAGTTAGCAAGCTCAGGCTCCAAAAGAAATGTTTATGGAACTTGCTGATGAGCGGAAGTGGATTATCAAAATAAAAGCTGGAGTTGATTCTGAATCCTTTGATGCCGATGAAGTCATTGTCTCGGAACATCAGTAATTTAAACTGAACTGTTTTAAACTGAACTGTTCAAGAGAAGAAACGAAACAGGACTTTTTAAAGAGGTTCAAAAAACACAGCTTTTATTTTTATAGTCCACTTCCTATTATCAGCAAGATAACAGGAAGTGTTATCTTGCAAAACTGAACATTAAATAAACTGTTTTAAAGTAAAACATTTAGAAATAAACAACATGGTGAAAATATGAACCCACATTTTTTTTCTTTTGCAAAATGACCCAAAAATAATAAATCTTTGTAACTTTATTAATCTTTTATTGTGAAAATGTTTATCTCTTCATGCTGGTTGGATATTGTATGGAATGACATTAATGACAGAAATGTTTTTTCGTTTTCAGACATGACAGACTGAGAAACTTGATTCAGAACAAACAGACCTCGGTCCACATGAAGACCGGATTCTGTCTCTGCTCCACCAGAACCTGAAACCCAAACAGCTGAGCCGTCTGACCTTCACTCTGACCTTCACTCTGACCTCTGCAGGGTTTTATTACAACAGAGAAACAGTAAAAATGTCCATTGGGATCCGATCAAGTTCTGCCCTCAAAAACAAAAATTAATCTGCAGCTTTGGTTCCTCAGCGGTTCCGATAAACCTGACCAGTTGAAGCACAGAGAAGGTTCTAGTCGCTGGTTCTGATCTTGCCAGATGGTTCTGAGTTCATGCAGAAGCTTCCTGACAAATCGGACCTCGACTCACTCCACATCCTCCATCTCCACATCTCCATGGCAATCAGGCCCCCTCTTCTTCCTCTTCTTTGGAGCAGCTGATGAGGAAGAGGACATCTTCTTCTTCTGTGGTTCTGGTTCCACTGAGAACAAAACATTTTAGACTGAAGTTAGACACACAGTCGGACCCGAGTTCTCCTGCTGGCAGCCAGACGGGTCAGAACCAGAAGCAGGTTTCACCAACTCAAATCTAAGATGTTTTTAAAGGCTGTTATGAATTAAATGTAAGACTTTTATCACCACAGAAATGTACAAAAGAAAATCTCACATTCACACGTATATGATATTTGAAACTACTGAGGAAACTAGCTAGTCGCTAGTCGTTAGCTTCATCGTCCAGCTAACCGGCAGTAAACCCAAATAAGCTAGCTGCTAGCGATGCTAATCTTCCAGCACCTAGAAATTCATTCAGAAATTATTTTTAATTCAGAAACTAATTTTTCTGTTCAAAATTTTATTTTTGTTTTGTGATCGAGAAAAGAAAAATAAAACGTTTATAAAGAAAAATCTATAAGGTTTCAAATTCCATCAGTTCATATTTAAAAAAAAAATAGGTCTGCGCATTAAATTATGTTACTTAAACTATCACTACTAGGTGAGCTTAGCCATCTGTTTTTTATTAAATTATATAAAAAAACAAACAAAATCAAAGTACTATTCAAAAATATAATTTTATAAAAAAAAACTCAAGCAGAACAACATTATTTTTCGTAAACCTTCGAATTAATTCAAAACTCCCAGGAATAGGAAATGCCATTCTCTATATAATCTTTTTATTTCTTGCACCTTTATTAGGTAACTAGCTAGCGTTAGCAGCTAGTTAGCGGTAGCCCCGACCGACTCAGTTCACAGTTCATAACGAAGATGTCTGCATGTGTCTGAAGCATTCCCCTCATAGAAAAATAACAATTATGAAATAGTTCTGCTGCGGCTCAATGGAGGCGGAGCGTCGTTTGGACCTTCAGGTGAGTCACAGGTTCTACCTTCCATGGACGATTTCTCTGTCTGCAGGTGCTGCAGCTGCTGCAGCAGCTTCCGCCTCTTCTTCCCAGAGAGCGTGATGTTGGCTCTGGGGCTGGACCTGAGGGACACGGAGAACAGGTGAGAGGAGGACAGGACACGGAGACAGGTGAGGAGGGGGAGGACTCCATCTGCAGCACTGACCTTCTCTTCTTCAGGTGATGGACGGTGATGATGTCTCGGTCTACTACGGCTCCGATTATCTGGTTCTGCTTCTTCTTCTGCCGGCCCAGAACCCGGCGCCGCTTGAAGAGCTTCTTCCCGAGCTCCTGAAGAAAACCAGGACAGGTCAAAGGTTAGGAGGCTTCAGGAGGAGTATCAAGCAAAGATGACCAACCAGAAGGAGGCGCTGTTTTGAAACATCTTTGTCAGAACAGAACTGAGGAGGACCATGTTGTGATAGTAACCAAACTAAAATCTGTTCCACATTTTTTTCATATTGGAGGAAAAAATTAAACATTTTAAAAATAACCGAAAACCGACAGGACTGACCGTCTGCCTCTTGTGACGTCATCACAACCAAGTGGACAGGGCAGCTAGATTACAGGAGGGCAGATATTCCTTTAATCAATAACTGAACCTTTAATTGATAAATAAACCTGACATCCGGTTCTGACCAAATGGACCTTGAAGGATTCTGACGGATGGTCCAGAAACTTCTGGCCGGTAGCTTTAATGTTCTGCCAGCTTCCGTTAGTTCAGCAAGTGGATCAGAACCGGAACCTTCTGGACCACTGACTCGCAGCTTTCAGTTCGGCTGACCCGAACCCAGAACCCGTCAGAACCGTTTGCTCCGTATTCTTACCGTCTTGGGTCTGTTTATCTTCCCCCCTGGAGGCGCCATGTCGCTCCTCTTCTCCACGAGGGCCAGAACCGCCCTTCTTCTGCTGCTGCTTCAGCGCCAGACAGCGCAACACCGCCCCCTGTGGCCAAACTCGAGATTACTCTGCAAACCCAAGCCGTCTCATGCAGAACCAGAACCAGAACCAGAACCTCTCTGTTCAGACGGCTCATAAGAAAAGCAGCAGAACCTCCCTTTAAACTGCAGCCCGAAAGTGTTTATATTTTAGTCAAATGCTCACCGTAATCTAATGTCATAAGATTTAGCTGAAGTTAAATACTGTTTAATATTCATAGAACACACACACACACACACACACATATATATATATATATATGTGTGTGTGTGTGTGTGTGTGTGTGTTTGAAGCTGAGATTTATAGATTTATTAATATTATGGTAAGAATATGATTTTTATCTCCTGACTGAAATTACTGCAGCAAAGCTTTGACTGTGTAACCTCACAAACGGCGCCCCATAGTGGCCAGACAGAGGCACTGCTGGTGTAGCATATTTAGATTAAAACCAGATTTTAATCTATTTAGTTAATAGAAATTCTGTTTGAAACAGGAAATTGAACCGCGAGATGTTTTGTTTTAAAAGGAAATCTGATGTTTGTAAATGTTGGCGTTTCAAACTTTTTCTGGCAAAAGAAAAAATAAACAATCTAAATGTTGAAACATAAAACCTTATGGGACTAATTTTTCAGAACTGAAGTTGAGGTTCTGATGGACCAGTCGGACTCGGACTCAGATATGACATGTTTAATCAGCTCAGAACAACAGGCTTCACCAACATGAACACATGAACTTTGACCTCCAGCAGAACCTTGATGGCAGTAGAGCGTGGAGAAAACCGACGGTCAGTGAAGGCATCATGAGGAAGCAAACAGCTCAACAAAACAACATGTTTAAACAAATAAAAAAATGACAAAAAAAGTCGAGTTTTCTGAACTTCAGTCAACAAAAACAAATTTATAGATTATAGTCAGATATCTAAAGTGCATTATGGTACAAAAATATAGAAGGTCAGCAGCACCTCGATACGTTTCAAAATAAATACACCAAAATAAATTACTGGAAATAATCAGACATTACTGGAATAAAAAGGATTCACAAAGATTAAAATCTCTGGCTGCACAGAGCAACCATAAGGTTTCATTTAAACATATTCTGCTTTTTAATCTCAGATATTTACACACAATAAATATTTTCTTTCTGCGGTCCAAATGCTCCGTGACGGGAGAACGAGTCGTGAACCTTTACGAGTCCGAGAGGCGAGGCCAAGATTTCTGTCTGCAAGACACAGAGAGACAGAAAACCTTCAGAGCAGAACCTCCAGCACTCAGATTATCACAGATTATCTCAGATTATCTCAACATCAGAAGTCAATTTATTCCAGCCACGTTTCTGATGGAAATTCTGAAAATCGAGAGGAATATTTTCAATAAGATTCAGCTGTTTGTATGAATTTAATCCAGATTATTAATTTAATAATCTGGATTAAATTCAGAGGGAAACGGATCAGATTGTGGATTTATGAAGGAATTTCAAACTTTTCTGACAGCAAAGAACAAACAAAATCAATCAATCAATCAATCAATCAATCAATCAATCAATCAATGAATCAATCAATCAATCAATCAATCAATCAATCAATCAATCCCTGCTGCTGGAATCTCTCCAGTATTTCCCATTGAAGACATTTCTCTCATTTTAATCTGGAATTCAGAACCAGCCAGTGGGATCGGACCAGGACAGCAGTCCTGATGTTCCAACCACAGCAGAACCAGAACCACGTGGTCCAAAGCCTCACTGACGGTACCGTCTGGTTCCGGAGGCCAAATCTGGTCTCTGGTCTCTGTGGAAACCCGATCAGCTCCAGACCGGACCAGAACTGTTTGTACCGGAGAGGTTCTGCAGGTCAAAACCAGAACCCAGCAGTTACAGCGGCCCGGCAGCCAGAACCCAAACAGATCCGGTCCCAGAACCTCTCAGTTACTGCTGTTGGCTTCAAATCTTTATTCTGACGTCCAGATGGACCCGGTTGGTTCCATCTGTCATTCTGGCGCCCGCAGTAGCAGCACCCAATCGGTTCTCCGCCTCACCGATCCGGTGACCGGGTTCCTTTAGCACCGGACCAATTCCGGACCGCTCGAGGAGCCGAACCACGGAGAAGACCGGCCGTTATCATGGCGACCCAACCCGACTCACCTCCGTCAGAGGCTGACGGCGTCTCACTGCAGCGCCCCCTGCAGGCCCAGCAGCGGCCTCCACTCCAGCTGGAGCCCGCTGCCCGCCTCTTCCCCTGGCCTTCGCCGGACGGCGCGAACCGTCCTCTTCCTCTTCTCCGCCTCCTTCCGGCGGCCCGACTTCCCCTTCCGCTTCCTCTTGCTGGGAAGCTTCTCCTTGTAGGACTTGTTGGTCTCCTGCGGCAGGTGGGTTCCCTCCTCCTCGTCCTCCTGGAGCATGACGGGGAGGTTCTTGGTTCCTCCGGGGGGCTTGGACTGCAGGGTGCTGCCCGTGGTGCTCGGGTTGACCCCCAGGCTCGGTCCGGGCGGCCCGGCGCCGGCGCCGCTGCTGCTCCCGGCGCTGCGGACCGGGAGGATCTCGGCCGTGTGGACCGCGTCCAGGATGCCTTGCAGGAACATGCGCCGCCGTAAATCTTGCAGCATCCGGCTTTTGTCGTGCATGAGCTGAGTGTGGGTCACAGAGCGCCTCCTGGTGGCAGAGAGAGAAACAGCTGAGCAGGGGCTGAGCCAGCAGGGGGCAGCACACACCAAGTAACAATAACAAGAATAAAAGTTTCATCTACGAGTAAGGAACCGGTTTTAGACGTGTTGATGAAAAACTAATGAATCAGCTTCTTTAGCAGCCGTTAGCCGACTTTCAGTCCCATTTTTTATAAATGTCTCTACAAACAGTTAGGACGCTAATTAATGTAATAATATCAGAATGTTAGCATAGTAACTCCACATAACAGATACAGATTGAATCTGTGACATTTTTAAACAAATGAAAAACAAAAATCTTTTTTTCCTCCTTTAAAACAAATAAATGATTTTAGAAATTAATTCCTGAAGCTGCAGGTTTGATGACAGAAAATTTAAACTTTACATTAAAAACTGAGTTAATAAAATGTTGGTTCTGAGCTGCTGGTCCACCAGAACCATCTTTCCAGAAGCCGAACCTCATCAGAACCGCTTTAATCTGCTTCCCGATCCAACAGAACCTCGTGCAGAACCAGCAGATGTTCTAAAAGTGACCACAGGAGGGCGCCGTGTCCTCAGAATCTGCCGTCCTGTCTGGGTCCACCTGAGGTTCTGAAAGTTTCGGAACCGGAGGGATGGATGCAACCGAACCGCTGAGGAAGAGCAGCTCCACTTCGTCAGGTTCGGGAACTTCCTGCTGAGTTCTGACGACTCTGCAGGTTCGGTTTTGATCCAAGTGCTGCAGCAACCGGGATGAAAGGCGGTTCCGATCCACCTTTCATCCCGCTGAGACCAAACTGATCAGAACTTTGCTGTGGTTCCGGTTCTGTGTGAGAGGAAACCGATCCCTGCAGGTTCTGATCTAATGAAGCGGTTCTGATCCAAATCCCTCCGGGTTCGGTTTAACCCAACAAATCAGAACTGCAAAGGTTTGGACCCTCTGACCCGAACTGCTCCAAAGCAACTGAAATGTTTGACCTGTCAGAACCAGAACCGAACTCTGGAACCTCAGCGGTTCTGCTTGTTCCCTGTCCTGATCCCGAGAAATGGACCTGACCCGGCTGGACCCGGATCACACCCAGAACCGACCGAGAGATAACGTGAAAAAGTTCTGCCAGACCGGCCCGGTTTGCTTTGGTTCCGAGCCGAATCGGCTCCTGCAGGCGGTCCAGTTGACCCCGCAGGTACCGAACCGGAGGAGAACTGGACTTACATTCTGCCGCTCAGGGTGTCGACGGGTCGGCCCGCGAACGGAACCGGGGAGCAGAGCAGGAAGACCGCGAAGAACCACCGCTGCAGGAGGCTGCTGGAGAACAACATGGTTCTGGAAGGGAAGAGCAGAACACAGGCCGGTCAGAACCCGACCCGACCGGACAGAACCGAGCCAGAACTCTGGCAAACTTTTAACCCAGTCAGAGGCAAACAGAACTGATTCAGACAGAACCAGAATCCTTTAAACTCTTCTTAGCAGAACCAGAGTCAGAAATCTGCAGAACTAATCAGAACCGGGTCAGAACTACACGGAGCAGAACCAGAGCTCATCAGCAAAACAGTCAGAACCCGGTCCGGTCCAAACTCTGCTGGGGAACAGAAAGCGGATCTCAGAGGAAAGCAGAAACCTAGAACTGGTTCTGGTTCCGACAGAACTCCATCAGAACCCGGTCAGAGCGGTTCCACTCACAGGTCCGTCCCCAGGGTCACCGGGTCGTCAGCAAGAGGTCCAGTGAGCTGCAGAACCGCTGGGCTGCTGCTGCAGGTCCATCTGAGAGCTGCGGCGCTGCTGCAGCAGGAGAGGAAGAGGAGGAGGAGGAGGAAGAGGAGGAGGAGGAGGAGGAGGAGGAGGAGGAGGAAGAGGAGGAGGAGGAGGAAGAGGAGGAGGAGAAGGAGGAGGAAGAGGAGGAGGAGGAAGAGGAGGAGGAGGAGGAAGAGGAGGAGGAGGAGGAGGAGGAGGAGGAAGAGGAGGAAGGAGGAGGAGGAGGAGGAGGAGGAGGAGGAGGAGGAGGAGGAGGAGGAGGAAGAGGAGGAAGGAGGAGGAGGAGGAGGAGGAGGAGGAGGAGGAGGAGGAGGAAGAGGAGGAGGAAGAGGAGGAGGAAGAGGAGGAGGAGGAGGAGGGAGGAGGAGGAAGAGGAGGAAGGAGGAGGAGGAGGAGGAGGAGGAGGAAGAGGAGGAAGGAGGAGGAGGAAGAGGAGGAGGAGGAGGAGGAGAGGAGGAAGGAGGAGGAGGAGGGGGAGGAGGAGGAGGAGGAAGAGGAGGAGAGGAAGAGGAGGAAGGAGGAGGAGAGGAGGAGGAGGAAGAGGAGGAGGAGGAAGAGGAGGAAGGAGGTGCTGCAGCTCAGAGGAGCTGAGATCAGGGATCAGCAGGGGTCAACCTCAGGATCCGGAACCAGGAAGGTTCTGCTGGAGGTTTAAACTGACCAGAACATCTGGTCGGGCCGGCGTGACCTCCAGGTTTGACCTCCAGGTTTGACCTCCAGGTTTGACCTTTGTTGCCATGGTTTCTCCATGCGTTCTGAAGCTACGCTATGAGTAGCATAGCTGCTAGCGTTAGCCTCAATTATAATTATAACAAAAGAAAAAATTACTTGAATTGAAATATTTTAACTATTTGAAGGTAAAATCAGATAAAAACCAAAGTAAATAAGTTTGATCTCTTATTTCCTCACAGCAGAAAAAAAATTCATTATTTCAGAAACTTCTATAAAAATAATCTAGAAATCATCTTCCCATGTATGTATATATCTCTATAGATAAATACGTAAGTCTGTATCTTATCATACCAGCTCTGTGCGCCCCCTGGTGGCCTGGAGGCACAAAACAGCCCCTTAATTCACACATGCCTTGGGCCGGCTCTGTCGCATTATCACTAAAAACAATAAGATTTATGAAGTCCGACTAAAGTGGAGGTTATCTCATAATGTGACATAAAATGAGGTTTTATCAACTTTAAAACTGTTTAAAAGAACATAAATCAGATGTTCAGATTTTGTTTTTTAAATCTAAAATCAACAAAAATATTTTTTTGTTGCAACACAACAACCAGGATGTTTATTTTAAACTTCTTCCTGTTTTAGTCCAACCAGACGATCATATTTCAGAAACTCATATTTTATTTATTTAACTAATTTTAAAACTTTCTCTTAATAAATTAAGAAAAAATTAATCCAGGCAGATGAGCCTCCTGATGTTTAACTCCAAACCGGAAGCCATATTTGATTTGAAGCTGTTAGCTTAGCGCTACGCTGCCCCCTAGGGGTGAGAGATGAAAACCGATCTGAAAACATTGCGGGTGTACGACTCGGTAGTTTGGAGACACGACGGCGTGTGGCGGACTGAGGTTTTGATAAAATGGCTGAACGCCGTGGCGTTCCTCAGGGCGTTCCTCAGGGCGCCGTGGCGTTCCTCAGGGCGCCGTGGCGTTCCTCAGGGCGCCGCTGCAGGTCAGGTCAGAGTGGAACTGTGGACCACTGAGTCAGATCACAACCTTCCTGAGATGTTTCTCCATCAGCTGAACAGAACCAGCAGAGGTTCTGGAAGGCCAGCTGAGTCAGACCCGATTATTGGACCGGACCGGACCGGACCGGACCGCTCTCTGAAACCCAAGTCCTCGGCGCAGCTCCTGGACCCGGTCCGGAGCAGACTCCTCCTGCCTGTGGATCAAACGGACCACCAACACAGCGCTGCTCTTACATAAGCTCCACACTGCTGCTGTTCTTCTGCCCGGCCCGGAGAACCGGCCAGAACCACTCCCAACATTAAACCCAGTCCACTCGGAACCGACTCTCTCCAGCTGCTTCATTAGAAGCAGGAAAACCCGATGACATCAGAACCGCCTTCAAGAATGTTAAACGCTAGTGATGCAGATGTGACGAACAGGGTCTGGAGTCCAAGTTCTGCCAAACGACCCGGTTCTTTTGAACCGTTAGAACATCAGAGATGGAGTCCAGAGAAGTTCTGAGCAGGATGGGAAGAACCGGATCTCCACGGTGCAGCACGGCGGTGGCTCCATCATGACCCAGAGAAACCTGAACAGAGCGGTTCTGTTTGAAGAGCGCACAGCGGCACCAAAGTGGGTCGGACGGAACCACAACAGCAGAACATCCAAAACACTTCACTGATCCCAACAGGAAGTCAAAGAATCTCCAGTAGCAGTCAGTCTTCCATGTGAAGAGGCCTCTGACTGAAGACTGCTGCTGCATGATGCTAACATGCTAACAGCAGCATGACCTGGATGACATCATCAGCTCTGCTGATCCGCCTCCTTTGCTTTTGCCGCTCGTTGAGACTTTGTCTTCCTCTCTCTGCTGTTTGGGGTCAAAGTTCAGCTAATAGTCGAGTTTTAAGATCAGCTGTTGCCAAGGTTACGCACCATAGCAACCGTCCAGCTGTAAAAAGTCCGAATGGATCCAGAACCAGAGAAATAACGGGAATAACGCAACAATAGTGAAACAGAAGAAAGTTTCTGCTGGAAGTTCAGCTGGATGGCGTTAAATCAGGCAAAGGAAGCAGAAAGTCAGCCTGCTGCTCCGCTGGTTCTGGTTCTGGTTCTGGTTCTGGAGGGAACAGATCCGAGTCTCAACATGTTGAAGCTCCAACGGGTTCCAGCGGCGGAGAAACGTCACGGCAGCTGAACTCTGACCTCTGGCTACAGATTGACCTTGAAACTGAGTATTTGTGAGAAACTGCAACATTTCCATAAAAGGACAAAACAGGATTTGGGAAAATGAGCCTCCCTCCGTGTTTCTCCTTCGCTAAGCTCAGGTCTGACCGGAGGGAACCCGGTTTGCCTCCGGACCTCCAGAACCTTTCGGACCGAGCTTCTGCATCTGCAGCCGGGTCGGGACGGAGTCTGGCCGGCAGCAGATCCCCTCAGTTTGCTTTGGGCCGGGTTTAATGACCGCTGATGGAGGTTCTGAATGTTTGGGGTTCTGCTCGGCCTCCCAGGGTTTCAGACCGGTCCGAATGTTTCTCAGAACCTCCCTGCAGCCGCTGGTCCAGTTCATTCAAACTGTCTTTAATTTAGCCTAATATGTCCAACATTCTGGCGGTTCTGATGCGTCCTTCATGACCCAGAACCAGCAGGAGCAAGAAAATCACACAAGGAGGACAGCAGAGCACCACTCTGGATCAGAACCCTTTCCGGGTTTGGATCCTCCGTTAATGGATCTGGTTGTGGTTCTGTTTACCTGAACAGCAGCAGAACCATTTGGGTCCGATCCAGCAGAGCTGTTCCACGTTGTCACTAATTTGCTGCAGTTCTGCGAAGCGGCTCATAAACGTTCACTTTCCATCTGAACGCCACACAGGCTGCCGACCCGCTTCCGACCCGGCCCACCTGGTTCTGATCCCAGGCCGAGACCCAGAGGTCTCCAGCTACACACAGACCTCAATTTAAACCGGGTCAGAATCGCCCTAACCGCACGGCAGGGGAGGTTGACCCACACAGGTTTTGAGCGGTTCTGTCATCATGTCAGGTGACATGATCTGGGTTCAACACGGTTCTGGTCAAACACGCCTGATAGCGCAAAACTGCAACATTTGTTCCATTTTCAGTTCCCCTCCTGGCCTGTGGAGGCGCTGCACCAAGAAACAGAAACCTCTGAAGACACTGAGAGCAACTTCCTTCTTCACCAGATGGAAACAAGATGGAGGCGTCAGAGTTCAGTGGCTGCTGCTAGCGCTAGGCTAACACGTTAGCTTTGGTTGCATTTACCCAGAATGCCCTGCGCTGTCTGTGGTCCGATTGCTGTTCACATTCAAACCAGAGTTCACTTCAACCGAACCCGGACAGAGGTCAGAGGTCAACTAATGTTCAAACCTCATCAGACTTTGATTAGGCAGCTGGATTAAATCAGGATAAATCCAGCTGGTGTGAATGAACACTTACAGTTAATCAGTCTGAACCTGAAGAGGCTCAGTAACTGGCGCTTGGTCTGGTTCTGGTCCAGTTCTGGTCTGGTTCTGGTCCAGTTCTGGTCTGGTTCTGGTTCGGCTCTACACCAGATCAAATGTGGAACAGGTGATCAATCTGATAATTGGTTCCATTAATAATCAATACAACAGAAAATTAAAAAAAATATTAAACTGAAATATATTTTTCTTTCATTGTCAAAACAATAATAATGTTATTTTAAACATAAGCTGGAGTTTAAAATGGTTTTAAACTAAAAAGGCAACAAAAACTTACAGAATGTTACATTTTAATACATTTTATTTATAAAATGCTGTAGAAGATTAAAAACATCAGTAACTACTAAAATAAGTGTTTTTGTTCATGACCAGAAAATTTAAAAATCAAATGCATTTTAAAATAAACACAAACGTAGTTTATTATTTTCAACTAGTGGTTTCTGATCAGAACCCAAACCTCGGAGCAGAACCGGGTTTTCTGAGCCCGGCCCATATAGAACATCAGAGCCGCAAACGGAACTCAGTTTAGTTTTATTTCATCATAAACGTTTCGGTAAAACCTCAGCGCTGGACACCGGCGACACTGCAGCACGACACCCTGGAGCAAGGGCCCAGCTCTACCGGATCAGAACCGGGGATGGCTAGTTTCTGGAGGGAACCGGACCGTGTGAAGTGTTCGCTGGATGAGCAATCGGAGGAAACCCCGGCAGTAAATCAGGGGCTCTCAGGGCGGGAAAGGCGGCTCAGCGATGGGAGGGGGACAGACCAGAAAACGTCTCCGGGGTGGCCGCAATTAACCTCTGGCTCACCTCCCGTTCTGCGGCCCGGTTCTGGATCGGTTCTGGAGGAATTCACGGACGAACAGTGGTTGTTTTGTTGAAAAACATCAGTCTTCCTGGTTTTATCCTGGTTATATGAAACAGTTTGGTCCCAACATCGACACCCGTAGTTTTAACCAAATGTAAAACCAGACTTGAACTTTAACCCAGTAAAACCCAGAGTCTGTGTTTTACTGGGAAAACTGGCTCTGTTACTGGAATATTACATTTAAAATTCTAAAGCATGATGTAGTTCGGTGCATTAGCCTCTTGTAGTTGGGTGCATTAGCCTCTTGTAGTTCGGTGCATTAGCCTCTTGTAGTTCTGTGCATTAGCCTCTTGTAGTTCGGTGCATTAGCCTCTTGTAGTTCGGTGCATTAGCCTCTTGTAGTTCGGTGCATTAGCCTCTTGTAGTTCTGTGCATTAGCCTCTTGTAGTTCGGTGCATTAGCCTCTTGTAGTTCTGTGCATTAGCCTCTTGTAGTTTGTTGCATTAGCCTCTTGTAGTTCTGTGCATTAGCCTCTTGTAGTTCTGTGCATTAGCCTCTTGTAGTTTGTTGCATTAGCCTCTTGTAGTTTGTTGCATTAGCGTCTTGTAGTTGGGTGCATTAGCCTCTTGTAGTTCGGTGCATTAGCCTCTTGTAGTTCTGTGCATTAGCCTCTTGTAGTTCTGTGCATTAGCCTCTTGTAGTTCTGTGCATTAGCCTCTTGTAGTTCTGTGCATTAGCCTCTTGAAGTTTGTTGCATTAGCCTCTTGTAGTTCTGTGCATTAGCCTCTTGTAGTTCTGTGCATTAGCCTCTTGTAGTTTGTTGCATTAGCGTCTTGTAGTTGGGTGCATTAGCCTCTTGTAGTTCTGTGCATTAGCCTCTTGTAGTTCTGTGCATTAGCCTCTTGTAGTTCGGTGCATTAGCCTCTTGTAGTTCGGTGCATTAGCCTCCTGTAGTTTGTTGCATTAGCCTCCTGTAGTTTGTTGCATTAGCCTCTTGTAGTTTGTTGCATTAGCCTCTTGTAGTTCGGTGCATTAGCCTCCTGTAGTTTGTTGCATTAGCCTCCTGTAGTTTGTTGCATTAGTGTCTTGTAGTTGGGTGCATTAGCCTCTTGTAGTTTGTTGCATTAGCCTCCTGTAGTTTGTTGCATTAGCCTCTTGTAGTTTGTTGCATTAGCGTCTTGTAGTTGGGTGCATTAGCCTCTTGTAGTTTGTTGCATTAGCCTCCTGTAGTTTGTTGCATTAGTGTCTTGTAGTTGGGTGCATTAGCCTGCTAAACCAGCTCCTTCCTGCTGTAGTTTATCAGCAGCATGGCCGCCTCCAGGCGCCTGCAGTCTGCCTGTCTCAGGCGTTCTGCGGGACTCAGATGTCACCAGATGGATCTCCGTAATGCGCTGCTGTGTCACGTTCCTACGCTCAATTAGGTCTGATTGTGGTGAGCGCTGCTCTGCCAGCAAACTGCATTAGAGCTTGGAGGGGACGCAAAGTGGTTTTGACTCTCTAAACAGTCTTTATGGGTTTAGGCGTGTGATTATTTTGACATTTAAACACATGAGGTGTTTAGATGATTCTGTAAAATAGTTCTTAGGGTAATAACAGCATCAAGCAGCATTCCTGTCTCGTATCTCAGACCACAGAACCATGTATTGTTCGTTTCTCTGAAATGTTATAATTTAGCACTTCAGGTTGATGCTGAAGGTTTTTAAACATAAGCTTTGTGTATAAAGTTTTTAGAGTGACTTTGATGTGTAAAAAGTGAAAAATTGGATCTGGATTTCATGAACTTCAGGAGTTCAGGAGGTGAAAACTGAAGTAGTGAAGTAAATATCAAGAACCAGTCTGATGCTCTACTGGTCAAACTGGAAGTGCAGAAAATGTTATTTCCACCAGGCATCATTAACATGTCAACATTATAACTAGTCAAGTTAACTGTAAGGTGATGTTATCTTAAACCATATTAACCAGCAGAAGCTACATGTGGCTAACTTACACAGCTAAAAGGTTAACATGAGCAGAATTTATGGTTTACTTTTTTGTTTATTTGATTTGGACAAATAAACAAAATTATCATCTCAAAAACAATCTGATGCCTGCATCAGTGTTTATAGCTGTGGCTAATGTGCCACATCCATCCTTACAGGAAACTATTTAAACAATCAATTTAAATAGAAAAGAAGATTAACAATAAATACAATGAAATGATCAGAAAGATATATGGCTATGGCTGACACACAGAGCAAAATACCGCAAACCTGACTAGCTAAAGAGCTAGCATGAGATACATGTGGCTAACAAAGAGTTAGCAGGCTAACGAAGAGTTACATTTTCATTGTAAAGCATCTGAGAAACCTTTCAGGGTTGAAAGTGCTAAAGAAGTTTGATGTGATTTTATTAGGTATGGCTAACAGCAAATAGGCTAACATGAGCAGCTAATGGCTAATAAATGGCAAATATAGAGCTTTTCCAGTCATTTTGGCCACTCAAAGCGCTTTACACTAGAGTCACAAACACACACATTTACACAGCGATACGCAGACTGGTAGGCAATTTGAGGTTAAGTGTCTTGCCCACAGGCACATCAACATGTGGCAGGAGGAAGCTGGAATCGAACCTACAACCTTCCAATTGCAAGACGACGACTCTGCCACACAAAGAGCTAATGAGCTCTTATGAGGATAGTATTGCAAAGTTAACCAGTTAATGAGCTAATCTGAGGAACATCCAGCTAACATGAGCAGCTATCGGCTAACATTAGCATCATTAAACTACATACTGGAGTTTAAAATGCAAGCAGAAATCCCAGAATGCATCTGCACTCCTGGTTCAGCCTGGATGGATCTGGAGCTCTGAAGGTTTTAGGAGTTTCTAAAAGGACAGAAAGTACTGGGCTGATTTTAAACCGGGTCAGAACCTGCAGAACTTTTTGTAGTGTTTCCAGATTCAGTTCAACCAACATCAAGTTTCTTTACTTAATGCAACAGTTTAGTCTTTCCTGTCAGACTTGTTGATATATTTCATCAAATAGCTGAATATCTAAAATAACATCAGAAGAACAGAAAACAGCTTCAGCTTCAGCCACACACTGGAGATTATTCACCAGTTTACAGAAATCGCATCTGTAAAAAAAAATCATTTACATAAAATGGCCAGAAACCAATAAAAACAACAACAACAAAAAAATGTTTTATTTTTATTTTTTATGAATGTTGGACATAAAAATAACTAAAACCTGCAGGAAGAAATTAAAGATTGAATTTTCTAACTTTGGACAGAGAAGCTAATAAAACAGCAGACAGTAAATATAGTTATTTAGTTAACCAATTAAACACAAGAACATGTTTCTTTGATTTTTAAATGACTAAACGTTGGATCAGAACAGAACCCAACAGATTTGGCTTCTGACCCGTTTACTGATTCAGAATCAATGAGAAGAATAAATAATGACAGAAATAAAGTTTTTAGTGAACTGAAAACGAGTTCTGTAATTCTGCTCTAGCAACCAACCCAACCAGAACCACAGTTCAGACCCGACCAGACCCAAAGTATCCGTCAGCTCTGCATGAAACGGTTCTGATCCACTCTCACTTCAGGAGCTCTGGACGTTCTGTGGTTCTGGTTCCGGCTCTGTGCTCTACAGGTGAGTTAGAGGTCCTTACCTGGAGGTTCTGTTGGGAATAAGAGTCGTCCTTTGGACCACAACCCGTCTGTTGTCCCGGGTCTCTGGCTCTGTGAGGATTGGTGTGGTCCCGGACCGGGAAGCTTTATAAACCGGGCCAACACCTCCTGATGACATCACACGGAGGTCATCAGCATCATGGCTGCTCCGCAGCAGGAGCCGCCATGCTGGATGGAGTTAGTCACTATCTGCTGGCTGCCTCCCACACGGCGCCCCCTCCAGGAGGAGCCGCGCCGCAGCGCTGGTTCTGGTTCCTGTGGTCGGCTTCCTGTCACTTTCTGCAGGTCTGAGCGTCAGTGAGCTGCAGCCGCGGAGCCGCCGTGCTGCCAGCGGCCTCACGCTGGTGTTCCTGCGCCGCTTAACCTTTATTTGGGCCGATTAGCGGCGCTGCTGTTTTTGTCGGTTTGAGTCGACTCTTAAATAACGGCCTCCTGCTGTCAGGCTGGGAGAAGAAAAGAGTAAATGTGGTTTTCTCCGTCACGCCTTCCCTCCTTGCGTAGCCGCTCTGCTCCTCTAAGTTTAGCTGGGAGTCGTGGTTTGAGGTTGGAGCATCAGGTCAAAGGATCCCAGCCGCTGCCTGGCTGCTTTTAGACACTCAGAGGTTCTGGACGGGTTCACTGGAAACCAGCAGATTTCATCTATAAAGAAACACTCGATAATCTCAGAATCCCAGCTGTCATCACATCACAAACTTTATGATGCTTATAATATGAAAAGTAAATCATTTAAACACAAATCACTGCAGACCTGGAAACAGAAGCTGAGAACCAGGTGATGTAGGACGGATTAAATCTGATTGGAGGAGAAGCTGCTCACCATTCCTGCGTCACGAATCCAAGCCTTAATCTGTCTTTACAAACTTTGTCGATATTACAATAATGTTGAAAAATTTCACAATGACGATGTTTCCTTTAAATAAGGTAAAAAAAATCATAAGTTTGTTAACACAATCAGTCTGTAAAACGCTGCATCCTCCTGCCACTTCCTGACGTTGTCTTCTTTGTTTCTGACAGTAGAAATGTATTTATTTCTACACAAAAAAATCCCAGCAGCAAGATTTTTGCCAAAAATCAAGAGCTTTCTTTTAAATTGCAGTGTTTCCATTAAGCAAATGTAGTTTTGAAATGTGAAACTGCGCAGCTTTGAGACAGGAGACGGTTTGAGTTGGGCTGCAGTGCTCAGGACTCCATGTCTCCATGTTGGACACGTCTCCATGTCTCACATGTCTCCACGTCGGACACCCAGTGGCGGATTTTCAAGGGCAAAGACACAAAATACAATCTGGACTTTGTGGAGGAAAATAAATATCAGGAATGATCCTGGTTTCAAACTGACTGAAAGGAAAACAATCAAAGAAAAAACACTGATTGGATGTTTTTGAGACGACCTCTTCAAAATAAAAGCTGCAGAATGAGAAACTGGGACCAGGAGAGTTCAACAGCAGCAGAAAACAGAGATGAAAAACAGAATAAAAAGGAGAGAATAAAACATGTAAACCAGAAGAGCTGAACTGCAGCAGCAGCAGAGTCTGAATGGAGTTGGGTTCTGAGGACGGATCGAGTCGAGGCTGAAACTTTCCGGTTCAGATCAAGTTCAGCTGCTGGAGGTAACAAACCGTCTCTGACCCAGGAAATCACACCAGCGACCTTTCAGTGACAAAAACTGTTTTCACTTCTGATTCTGGCCCGGCGCGGCCAGCGCGGCCGGGGTCCGGCCGGGGTCCGGCCGTGGCCGCGCTGGCCGGAGGCGTCGCTCTGCCGCACGGGAAGGAAGGACGCCTGTCAACATTTTAGAATAAAATCATTATTGAACTTCAAAAGCTCCAAACCAGAAATGTTGAGGACAACAAATGATCAAAAGTGATGAACGTTGATTTAAAGACATGGAATCAACGTTTGAAAGATTAAAACTATTTTTATGTTAGTTGGAATTATGAAAAGTAATATATAATTTGTTGAACTTGCACAAATTAAACACAAGCAGAATAGTGTGGAATAAACTCAAATCATTCATCACAAAAGCCTTAATTTAACTGTTTCTGGTAGAAATAATAGTAATTAATATCATCTGTCGTCATACAGATGAAGTTTGAACTCAAACGAGGACAAACTTCACCTGCAGCAATCATAACCTGTAAACAGTCACAGCATTAATATTAATTTAACTCCTGTTTAGTGTTGTGACCAAACACTTTCATCATTCACATTTATTAATGATGATGTGAAAGTTACAGCTGGCATGAAAGGACTTTTTACAAACGTACATATTTATGTAAAAATGATATTATTCATGACGATATTCTCGTTAAAAATTGTGCTTTGATGCTGAAATATTGTTGCAATACTAAGTGCTAACATATGATAACTGTCTAAACATGTTGAAATCCAACTGTGGAAAGTAGCTGAGTCAGTGTTTACTCCTCATCCCTTCAATGCAGGTTCAGCCAATCAGCAACAAGGGCAATAAATGCAGCTCCTGGATTGGCTGCCTTGCAGGCTCCCGCTGGCTTTGCGCTGAGGTCTTTGCTTTCCAAGCTGCTTTTGCTTTGTAATATTTTCAATTTGCTTTACAAATAAAATTGAAATAATCTGGAGTAAAATCCACAAAAAGCCCAGGAGTCTGTGAAGAGGGGAGGGGCCCTGCACTCACACAACCAAATGTTTCTATTTCATTGAAGAACGGGTCAAAGTGACTAACTTTACAGCAAAACAGTAATGAACCTAAAGGTCTGCAGTATGAAACGCAGTCATAAAATAATTAGGATATTTACTTTAGTGGTGGTGTTTAAAGCTTTATTTGGAGCCGTCACATATAAAACATGTTAGCAGCTGATATTGTGACACATGCTGATGTGCTCCAGAGGAGCCAAACGCAGCCGGATCCAGGGATCCGTTCCAGCAACATGTCACCACTGAGTGAAGCAGATGGAAACTCAGGATGGAGCGAAGAAGAGCCGTTCCCGTCTGAAGTCATGAAAGCGCCGCAGTAAAACGTTTCCGTTGTGTTTATTGTGAGGAGCAGATATTACCACCAGGCTCCTCTAATGAAACCGACGCAGGCGCCGGGATTATTTCATGTTTTAACAAGGTGTTTGAAGATAAATGAGAACCCGCAGTTTCATTGACGTTTCCACATCACAGCGACGCTGGAGGTGGGACAGAAAGGAAAACATGGCAGCCGTCTGACCCAAACAGGTAAAGTCATGAGGTCTGCAGCGTCAGAGGAAGTTCTCCTAAAGTTCTGACGGTTTTCTGCTCAGGTAGCAGCTACTCATGCTAGCAACAGGCATGCTACCGCTCAACAAAGATAACCGGCTGCAGTGAATCATCCACATCCAGAAACAGCCCAGAACTGGGTCAGCGCCATCGCCCTCCAAACAGACTCCATGTTTCCAGCAGGGGAGCTGCAGAGCAGCTGCGGTTCAACATGAAGGATTCGAGCAGCTTCATGATGGTGACATGTCGCCCCGACGCGAGGATCTTCTGCAGGCTGCGGTCAGCGGAAAACAGACTAGGATACTTTAATCAGCTCTTGGACCCGGGATGAGAATTCCTCCAGAAAACTTCCCCTCATTAGCCTGCGGCCGTCGCTGACGACGCGGCAGGATGGGACTTCCCGGGACGCCGTCCAGAATTCCCGGGCTGTAAATCCGAAGCGTACGATCCCAGGTGAAGGGAGCCGGTCGCGTTCTTGTGACAGACAGCAGAGCGATGAATCATGATGGGAAGATTATTCATTTCACATTTTTACTGATGAAAATCTGAAAAGTGTGGCATGCAATTGTTGTCGTGACACATGTCTGATAATCCGCTTAGCGAAAAGCTTTTACAAGGTTTTGGTTTTTCACTGTTAGGAAGTAGTAGACATTTCTGATTGTGCTCTTATTTTGAAGTCTGTTCTGTTCATAAACAAACTGCGTTTATGTGATGCAACCTGAATATCTATGCTAGGATATTGTAGTTTTTGCAAAGCCACCATTTTATTTCTACTTTTAGGTTTTGAAATAATAAAAAAACTTTGGCAAAAAAGACGATGGGAACATTTTCTTCTGAGATCTAAATATTTGGGGAAAATGTCATTTTTTAAAAGCTTCCATCTAAAAATAAAGTACAGGGACTTTTAGAGTCATTCCTTTGTGGAAATAAAGAATCTTTTTTGGACACACAACTTGTGTCGACCAGAATATTTGAGTTCCTTCTGTTTCAAAGGTGTTGGAGTTGTCCTGGTTTCTGTGACGCAGGTGACCTCTGACCTCGGTGTTTCTGAGCCGATAAGGCTGGATACCAGGGGATTCTTGGGACTTTAGCAGGAAACTGTTAAAGTTCTGATGGAACCGGTCCAGTTGGAGTTGAAACCATGAAAGCAGTTGAAGTTAAATGGTTTTTCTTTTGCTTCCAGGGATTTTCTTCACGTTTAAACTCCTGGGCGCTGAAAACAAGCCGATCCACAGCAGCGGCTCTGACTCGAAGTGAAGCATTAAAGAGCTGCTGATGTTCTTCTTGTTTTCTCTTCCCAGAATCCACTTCCCCTGGAGTCAGTGAAAACATATTAGCATGCTGATCCCCTCTGTCAGCTCTCTCGTGTTCCTCAATGTGCTTCCACTTTAACAATTCATGCACAATCAGCGCCGACTCCGGTTGGGCTCAAACGTCCTGCAGAATCAGAGGAAAGTTAAGGAGCGCCCTCCAGGTGCTGCTGGGTTTTTCACCTACAGTTGGAGTCGTGACCTCTGACACTCAAATCCCCTTAAACCCGACTGAGTCTGGTCTGAAAGCTGGACTAAAATCTGGAAGTATTTACGGCCGTTTCCAGAGCCGTCCTGGGAGATTCCCCTCAGGCCCACGCAGCTCCTCCGTGCCGCGGCAGCCAGCTCAGCTCTAGTTTTCCACTTCAGGCAGATGATTGTGAGATATATGTCCATGATGCTGCGGGATGCTGCGTAGGAGCCTGAACGGAGCTTCCTGCCTGCCGTTGTTTCAACTGCAGATAATCAGGATGCTATTTATAACTGCAGACGGAGTTTCCAGCATCAGAAAGATTCATTAAGCAGAAGACTTAACCGCCATCAGGCTTCTGACAGCGTCACCTCCGTCTGGCAGGAAGACGCTTCGGACATGAGGAGCCCAAGTAAACCGCCGTGATGAAA